GAACGTCAACTTACAGAGCATTAAAATGTCTTAAGCTTGTGTTAACCACACACCTTATTTCAAGCATTTAACCAATTCTATTTAAAAAAAACAATTGCCTTTAAAAACACAGAAGCGCTAAAATAAAAACATATTGCAAGGCTTCAAGACTCATTGCTTCAACACTTAATAACAGGTATATTAAGACACATTGAATAAAAAAACTAAATAAATACAAGCATCGACATATAAACGCACCCAATAACCCATAACAAATAATCAAGATCATAAATGCTGCTTTGTTTTTGTCTCAAATTTCTTATGGGACATATCTGTCTATATAGTTGAATGCTCTGCTTTGTTCACATGCTACTATCATTTGGGCAGGCAACATAGAGAATTGGAGGGAAACCCTCTTTAATGTATATATAGTGGGTTCTTCCTAACTTATCCCATCAAAAGACAGTGAGTGATGAGAGCTGTGAGACTCAATCCGAACAGGAAGGTGGTTAAGAACCAACAAGGAACTGAAAGGTGGCAAAAAGCTATGCAGAACTGAGGGTGTTAGATGATCATTCTCAAATGACCTGTAGTGCAGTAAGGTTTTTGCTCAGTTGTATGAGAAAATTCAAACACAGCTTAACGTCATCGGTTGAGCCAGATGTGTTTGTGTCCGGGGAGAGGCTACAGGTGGTCTCACAGTACAAATACCTCGGGGTCTTAATTGATTCAAGACTCAATTTTAAGGCTCAGGTGAAAAAGGTGTGCAACAGGGTCAAGTTCAGTCTGTCAAATTTGAGGTTTATCTCACATCACCTGCTGCTTAACAACCTGGTCACATGCCTGTACAACCACTCTTAAACCCCTGGAATCATTATACAAACAAACACTCAACATAGTACGGTAGATAAGAAATCAGTTCATTCTCATCATTGCCCAATACTCACAAAATATAACTTGTTGAGCTGGGAAAATGTAATTAAATATGCAAATGCTTGCCTCATGTACAAAATAATGCACGGCCTAACCTCACCTCCACTCAGACATTTTATCACCATACGCACACCTCTAACTAGATCAACAAGAGCTGCAACAAGAGGAGATTGCGTTGTTCCATTAAGGACGAGTTCATTCAGCCAATCTTCATTTTCTTTTAAAGCTGCACAACAGTGGAACTCAATCCCAGTAACGATTAGAGAACAAAACACCTGCAGTTTATTCAAATCTGATTTAAAAACATGCTTAGTGGAAAATCAGCTCTGTCAACACTGACACAATCTGCACTTTACAACGCTCTGTTTGTACACATGTGCCTTGACCTGTTGCTATCTGTCTGCTTTGTGAATACTTATTTTTGTTTTTATGTTTTTATATATGCTTTTATCATGATATAAGCATCTATGTTGAATGTTGTTTTACTGATTGTATTTACCTGTCATTTGAAGTGACATTTTTCTTTAGGATGACTTTCAACATCTGTCCAGGGACTGCAGATGAAAAATAGCCTGTTGGCTAACTCTGGCGCATTTAAAGAAATGTTAATCAATGTGCACTGTCCCTGTCAAATAAATAAATAATGCTAGACCAACAAACAAACAACAGCAAGATCTTTAAGTAAAATGTTGACGCACTGGAAAGCAGTCAGGAGAAGCCTCGAGCTCAATTGTCTCTATTCTTTCAATTCACCACAAAAAAGGTTGTTCAACAGCATTTTGGACAAGTAGATGCAAATGGGACAGCAAAGTCCAGTTAATAGCCAAAAGGGATGAATAAGAACCAACTACCGAGTTAATTTGTTTATCAAAGCTAGGACTGCGTGAAAGATTCCTCCAGATTTTTCCGCAAATGGCTTTACAGGGTTTCTAATGGTGGTAATGATGGAGTCGGGGAGGCGAAATTTGACAACTCAAACTTGCTCTCATTAAGCTTGAGAAACGGTCTTTGATGTTTCAGTTCTTTCAGTCAATATTCAACGTAAATACACCTCATGCAGCAAATGTATTTTTGTTTATATCTTTTCAAAGATTCTGGCTTTTCAAATTGAAATGTATTTCTTTGTATTCACACAAACAAACAACAAACACATACAGAGCCATGAACACAGAAGCTCCTCTGGTTTTCTAAAGGACCTACGTTTAACTCATGCTACCTCCTCATCATCGTGATTGAACACGACAGAAACCAAAGTGAAATAACTCTTTAGGCCTTTCCGGCTTCTACGTGAAGTGCAGGCAGTGGAAGTGTCTTTTCTGCTGACCACTCGTGCTCCATGGACGACTTTTGTGTAGCAGTTTCCCTGCAGAGACTAGGGGGAAACTGCAGTGTGTATTTTGGGAGATGCCACTGCATGTTAGCTGCTTCGTGAAACAAACTTAATACCAGCTGTAACAGGTCTGATAACGCATGCACAACACAGTTTGGTGTTAAACCCTCATTGATCTGGCTTAATTAAAATATTACCCAACTGAAAAACACTTTAACGCCAACCAAGCAGTCAGTAGCTTTGTCCCTTGACACATTTGTGTAACAGGTATGCTGTGAAGTGTTTATTTACACTAAATCTGGATGAAATGATGCCACTGTGACCTATTTTTAGTGATTGGCATATAATGACAGACCATGTCAGCATTAACTGCCAGTAACAGTAAGAGCAGGCGACAGGGCATGACCTGGATAAAAAACATCCATGTTGAAATCTTCGAACAAAATATTCCTAGCTAAGAGGTAAAACATATACTCAGCAGTGAAAAAATGAATAAATCAGGTAGTTAATCTTTAAGCAATAAAGTTGTTTGGCTGGTTGTTGAGGAGGTGGTAAAGAGGTGAAAGGAGCCTTCCAGGTAGTAGCTTCGCCACTTAACCGATCATGAATTTGTAATGTCCTGGCAAGGGTCCACAAATAGCACACGCACAGTGTGACTATACCAAAATAAAAGCATCGTTATACACATGTTGTGACTGCAGTAATGAAATGGTTGTAGTTCGGGGAAAAAACATCCAGTAAACAGTTACAAAAATTAATGACTAGAGGGAGCAGAATGCTGAGAGAATGGTGCATGAAAGGAAGATTTTTCTTCTCCGTGAACCCAGAACACGGGTTCATTTTGTTGATGCAGATGGTGTTTTTACTGCTAAGTCAAGTATTTAACAGGCTCAGGCGCAAACCCTCCAAAACACGTTATAAGCTCAGGGGCAGATGTTCACAAGTGTTCTTGCAGTTTTGTGTTCATGGACAGTATTCACATTTAGTTGGTGTTTCAAGTGTGTTGGGTTCAAAGGGGCAGTTTATCATCCGGCAAAAAGCCCCCACAGAGGAGCATGTGGTAATTATAATATATATGTTCCTGCATCAACAGCTGCATGATTATATTATTTTGGATTTACAGTACTGATGCGGGCCAACAATCTAATACACACTGTATATAAAAGGCACAAATTAAAAGAAAGCAATTCCAAAATGTGAAGTTTTTAATGGGATGAATGGGCTGCAAACAAACCCATAGAAGCCAAGGTTCACCGCAAGAAAATACCTTGTGATAATTTGTTATGCTATTATAAATCCACCCTGCATAAAGCTGCATTGCATAAGTGCACACATTAACTATGGGAAAAAGAGTGCTTGCATTTTTTATTAAAATCAACCATCTTTGCTGCTGGGATTGACTTTTGTACCATTAAATGCAAACACAATTGTATTTTCCCAACTGTCTCAGGCACAAATCCAGTCGCAAATCACGGGCTGTGAGTCACCCTGATCTGCTGACACAGAAAGAGGAGAATTCATAGTGCCATTGAACGTAAATGAACATGTCATGAATCAGCTGTCCAATCTCTTGTAATTGGACGTAGTAGGCATGGCCCCATTCAAACGTAAAAATTAGATGAATTCCTCTTGCTCCATGTCGGGCGGCTCTTATCCTTGGTCTCATTCATTCAAATTTCACTCACTCACATTTCATCTGGTTGTATTTCTTACATAAGGCATAACTCATCTCTTTTAGATTAACTTCTAGTTGGCCAAATGAGCCATAAATATATTTTATGTTGTATAGGTGTAGAGTGCTTCCCCTTTTCCAGCTGCCTGAATAATTCTCTTCCTCTCCATGTTTTATTGTGAGGCCGAAATGTGCCCCGACTGGATGTGTCTTCAGCTCTGTGTATTGCTGTTTGTCCAACAGATTTAGTAGAAAAGCAGAGGTATGCGTCATAACTTGGTCTAAAAAAATTGAAATTAATCTCTTATAAATTAATAGAAAAATGTATAAAATAAGATGTAGATGTCTGTTGGTAAGCTACTCTGTGGCCAGGAGCCTTTCATGTCCACCACCACCCAACTAAATCCTCAGCCCCCTAATCTTCCATAAACACTCCCTGACTACGGAGCTTCCTTGGCATTGCCAGCATGTGTGTGCCAGCCCCATATAGCCATTAGCACTGTTAAGCCTGTGCGTCTCAGCCCGAGCCCCCACTCCTCACAGCAAAGGTGAGTGATGATTACTTCATGCATCACTACGGGTGGCGTTAATCCTCAACTCTGGCAAGAAATCTTTAAAACGGAATAAACGTCTCCATCCTGATCCACTACAGTCTCAGGTTGTTTGTCATTACCAGCAAAGGCTTGCAAACTGCACACATTGAATTCCATTTGCTGTTTATCCCTCTATCACTCACTCCTCCCCTTTATAACCCCACATCACTTTTTGTTGATCACCTCCTTTCTTCTCTCACCACACAAACATACACCCGTTTGATTGCTTTCCCTCTCCCCCACGGCAGCCAGCAGCTAACCAGATCATTCCAATCCCTCCATAAATAGGAAACCACAGTAAACAAAAATCTGAGCTGCCAGTGCAATCAGGGAACATTTCTCTCCATTTCTTTTCAACTCTTCTCTCTGGATGAGTGCTGCTGTGTGCCTCTCATTCTCCCAGCACACTGCAGCTCCTCCCTCCACCTCCCTCATCAGCTGCCCCTCCCTCTCCCCTCTCTGTCGCTGCTAGGTGCAGCATGTATGCGAGCGTGTGTGAGCCAGCAGAGCTGCCTGTGTGTTTACATGTCAGCCTATCAGTGCTGCCGGATTTAGCGCATCTGGAGAGGAACGAGGCTTCTCTCAAATGCCCCTCAGACAAGGGGGATTCTCAGCGCTGCACACATCCCTCTTCCCCCGTCTGAATCCAGCCTGTCGTGAATCCTGCATCCCTGTCTCCATGCTTTCGGAGGCATTTTGAATTTCCTTCGCAACATGGAGCTGCCTGAATTAGAATTCTCTGCATGACAGTCCTGGTAAGTACTCGGTCTCTATGGTGGGCTTTGAGCACTGAGGCATTGGATCAGATTTATTATGGTGCAGTGGTGGGGCCAGAGGATCGCCAGGGAGCAAATTAATGACGGAAATAAAACTGTATCGAAGGCAAAAGATAGGGATGGAAAGAGGGAATATTATTCACTGAGGAGGGCTCCAGATCTTATTTGTGCTTTGTCATCCAGATGGCTTTCATTTCGCTGCGTGCTATGAAAACTGGGTTTGTATTTAGGGAACACACACATGCATGTATCATTTTGAACATACAGTATGTGCTGTTGCTTGTGTGTTAGTGGTATAAATACAGGTATATGCTATAAATATTATATTGCATATGTGTGCATGGATGCATGAAAACACACCTATGTCCAGCCTTTTTCACAGCAGAAGGTGTGAGGCTGATTAAGAGTGTGTCTGTTTTTGTGTTCCTCCCCCCCCCCCTGACGCTTCCTCGCCTGCCCTCATTAACATTCATCTTCCTTCAAATGCCAGTAAACTCATCTAGCCTCACACTTATTCATTCTCAGCTGCCTTTTTGCTCTTGGCTATTTTCCACTGGGTATGAAGGAGTCTATGCAGGTGTTAGATTTGCCACAGGTTAGATGGATGGGTGGCAGTGGGGGGGGATGGGTAGAGTGGGTGTGGGGGGTGATGCCCAATGATTATTTGTGCGGGCCAAGTAAACGGTCTCTCGTAGTTTAATTTATATTTCTTGTTATATTTGCATTTTTCTAATCATGGCTGCAACGCTCCAGCAGGCTGACAGCGATGAGAGGACTCTTCCTCTCTCTTTTTTCTTTTTTTGTGTAACTGCACAGTAACAACCTCTGCAAACCACAGAGCCCTGGCAGTGCCTGAGTGAAGGGTCTGCTCTTCACGTCAAGGCTTTATGAGCTAAACAAAGCTCCTAATTGGAGCCCTGTAATCAGGTTATGACAGCTGATTAGAATCTCTTCTCTTTTTTGGAGTTAATAATGCCTGTCAGTGTGTGTGCGCGTCTTCAAAGCACTCAACGACATTTCCATCAGAGTGAAATGAGCGAGGCATGTTGATTTCTGATTACATTTGATGATTAAAATTAACTCATTGTTATTGGACAATCTGCATATTGTCTCTTTGTTCTCTTCACATTTTTCAACTTGTGCTGCATTTATGGACATATTATAGCTGTATTTCAAGACTGGAGAATATATAATACACATTTATTTTTATTTAATCACACTGATATCCGATGCTAATGGATGTGTTAACATATTTTAGCATTACCACAATATTTAACCTGCTTTTCTCCATTAAAGCTAATGGGGATCTACACAAAAAGCACTGAAATTATCTGTATATAAAGATATTGCTGGTTTGCTTACACAAAGTTACCCAATTACAGTATGCATTCAGCAGAAATGGAGCAACATAATCATCATATTGGAATCATACTATGGCTGCACGATTTGGGGAAATAATCTAATTGCGATTTTTCTGACAGATATTGCGATTCGATTTGCGATATTTGTTTTTAAGCGACCCAACGGAAGTTAATTATAAAATGCGGCCATATCTCCGGCTAGGAAGGACGCATCAACATGCTCCCGTCTCTAGCACCCCCGCAGCCCGGGCTACGAGTGAAAGAACTACACTTACATTAAACTTCCATTGGGTTGCTTTAAAGTCAAGCTTCAGTTTCAGATTCACCCTGTAATAGATGTAAAACATGTGATGGAGCATTTCTAACTTGACTCAGACGGTTTGTTTCACCAAACCATCTAGGAAAGCTCCATTGGAAGCCATTTGGAAAAGTATTTCAGAAATACTGGTAGGTGATTGGATCAATCTGTCCATCACCTTCTATCATGGGCCACTTCTGATTGGTTAACAATGACTGGTACATGTGGAGCACAGCACTTCTGATTGGTGTGGATGACTGACACACAAGAAGAACAAAAATACAAAAAAATTAATTAAATAAAAATCGCAGGCTTTGCGATTTGATAATTGCATCATTGAAAATCGCGATTTCAATTTAAAATCGATTAATTGTTCAGCCCTAAATCATACAGTATTTCTTCACCAACTATTGAGCTGCTAATTGCTATTATATGTTCACAGGGTTTACAGCAACTCTGTTTATCTGCCATGAGTTCCTTGGCAGGTAGAATATAAATGGGATTCAGTTTTTTATTTATTGAAAACCTTTGCCTGTTGTGGCATGAATCCACGCTGATAAGAACCTTTAAAGTGACTAAAACAGTGAAGATGCAAAATACTTTAAAAAGCACAAAGAGGAGAACTGCAGGTGATGGCTTTCTGTGGGTTCATTACTATGAGTACAATTTGATCAATAGACAAATATCTAGTTTAGCAGCTTTAATGAGTAGAGCACAGTAGAGCTTAGTGTGAAATCATTTTGCCTAGCAACCATTTGGAGCACTTCTAGATGTTCTGATGATCAATGATAAGCTATTAAGCAACTACTAACATGTACGGATGGGGTCAATTTAAACAACAAATTGCTTTGGTTTTGCACAAAAAACTGACAGTACTGTACATGACAGTTCCATTTATGACTAGCCTTATGGGTCAAATGTAAGTTCTAAGCATCATTATAACTTTGAAAATCTCATTTTAAATGTACATTTGAATGCTGAGCAACTTATTTTTGGATGTCTTTTCATTGTGTTCAAGGACAGTATTTCTGCAGTTGCAAGATAAAGTCCTACTTATATATGACTTATATTAGTATTAGTTACACTATTTGTAGAATAGGATACCAGTGATGGTTACATATAGTTTCGAACTGGTTCCGGACAAATATTTTCAATATGTCCGGGGCGATGTAAAGTCTAAAAGTATAAATGTATTGAAATGAATATGTATATTTCCAAATTGACAATATGTCTTATTGTAAATGTTCTGTTGGCACTAAGCCTTTAGAAAACAACATTTTTCGGTTGGTCACCTAACTGGAAGACACAAACTGACAAATGATATTCATGAAGCTGATTTACTAAGACTAAATTCATTCAAGATGATCAATCACAAATTAAGGATTTTCTTCAAGGATTTATTAGGTCGATGAAAGAATAAAATATGACTAGAGATTTCAAGCTTCTTTCAAAAACCTCAAAAACCTCAGATGAAAAAATAAATGACATTCAGTCTGAGTAAATGTCAAACACATTGAAATGCTCTTAGTTGAAGTACCTGTTGTTTGGGTTCCTTTGAAGAAGAATAAAAAGGAACATAAGCCCCAGAATCCTTTGAGGCCGATGCATTTGTGTGCATGCAATAGGCCTTGTAATAACATAATATTATCCACAAACATTGGAGCAAAGTGGGCTTGTGCTAAAGGATCCTGAGCAGTTCTGACCTTCATGCTCCTCATAGAAGGTGTGCACTGGAAAAATAATAAGAACATTGAAGTATGGACTTAATTCACTCCAAAAAGGTTCTCTTAGTTACCCGATATATTGCAAATATATTCAAATGCAACTGACAAAATGTGTATGATCACTTAAGAGTTTTTGTAATACATTGATATTATATTAATTAAGACCATGCATTTACACTTAATACTGTTGAGCCTATACTCCAGTTTATTCCATCCCTAATAAAACAGCTACACAATCAAAGCAGCGCTTCTTTTTCACAGCACTTTGTTCCATACTGTCATACGCTAAATATTCTGTGACATAGTGATCGACATAACACTGAACAATAGCCAATGTCCTCGCAGTAGGATCACATGTTGATCATCACAGCCAAAGTAATTTGTTTACAGATGGATTAAGGTTATTTCAGTTAGAATATAGGTTACTTATCCCATGTTGGAGGAAGTTACAATTAGCAACATTTGTGGAAAACTCAAGAGTATATATTCACTTGAAAGCAGATTGTTTTTGCTTCAGAGTTCATTATACACCATATGCTCAATGTAAGAAAAACTGCATGATGAATAATGTCAGATTCATCTGAGGATTTTGTACGGTCTCTTGTGATTCCTTTCTCCTCATGTTTGAATTTAGCTTCTTAATAAAAGCCCATTTCATGTATAGCTCAAATCAGGGCAGTGTGGCACATAACAGTTCATTTGCAATACCCCAGAAAGAAGTGATGTATAAAGTAACCTGAAAACATCTAGGGTGTTACTATTGAAGCATTCTGTGAAACAAGATCCATCTGGAATCCAGATGCTGCCACATACTGGGTAACATCAGCCACCTTGAAAAGGAGCCGGTGAGACTGGATGTGGTGAGGCTGGCAGGTCCCATGTTTACAGTGTCTGCTGTATGGCGAGGTGGCACACGCAGGCAGATCTGTCACAGGATACTCAGGTTTTCGTTCTACAAATGTATTCAGAAGGTCACAGTCCGGCTGTTCAGCAGCAGCCTTCCTCATTTGAATGTAATAATAGCAGCTTTATGCTAAATATGAGACAGTCAGGGGCTGGTAGGATGGAGCAGAGCTCCATGTGCAAGCTCCTGGCTAGAGTCATGCTCTGGCACTATCAGAGCCTTTAATAATATACATTGGATGTGATCACAGTGGAAAGACTGTCCCTTCCCATTCATCATCTGTCTGCTCGTCTCATTCTTTTGTTTGGTGGGTATTTATATTATAACTGGACACCAGAGGTCTGGTTCCTTTCACTTGAAAGAAAGAAGATGATGACTGATTGCCTTGTCTTTCTGTATTCTCAAACTGTAATGACTGGGGCAGCAAGTAATTAGGCCTTTGGAATCTATATGCCAGTTTTTTCCACATCAGAACCAAGGCCAATGCGTTCAATCATAGAAACTGAACTTGGGTGTGGAATTTTAAACCCGCTGTTAAAAATAATGGTCTAAGTTCTTTATTAACCGTAAGAAATGGCCAAGCCACACAACCTTCATATTTGTACTGTAGCGGGTGATCATTTGGTGTGAACATCTCTATTGAGCCTGCTATAAAGGGCTTTTAGAGTCTGAGGTACAATTGCCTTCAGCAT